CCCCCCAGACCCCCCAGACCCCCCCAGACCCCACAGACCGATGTCCAGAGTCCACAGATCCCCCAGCCTGCAGCCGCTCATGCCGCCGTAGATGACGAGGCGCGAGCGCCGCCCGTCGCGCTCCGTGTACACCACGGCCGTGTGGGACTCGCGGGGCGGGGGCAGCACCCCGTACGTGATGGGGATGTCCCAGGCCAGCACCCCCGAACCTGGCCGCAGCTCCAGCACGTACAGGTCGTTCAGGTACCTGGCAAAGGGGGTTTGGGGTCAGGAGATGCCGTAACAAATCCTAAAAGGGGGACCGGGGGTGCGGGACACCCCTAAAGGCTGTTTGGGGAATAGGATTTCAATGGGTCCTCAAGTGCCCTAAAATGCACGCAGGATGGCCCCAACGTCACCTGTGCCCAGGTGTACAGGTGGGTCAGATAGGAGGGGAGAGAATTCTGAAAGTCAGGAGATCCAAAAAATCCTAAAGGGGTGTTTGAAGAAGCGGGTTTACACTAAAAGGGTACTTGGAGCAATGGGATAACCCTAAAAGGGTCCTTAAAGCCCCTAAAACATGCCTGCGATGGTGCCAGTGTCACCTGTGCCCCCACCACAGACCCCTGTGTCCCCCCAAAACACGACCCCAACGTTTTGGGGTCGCTCCTGTGTCCCCCCAAAGCTCCCTCAAAAACGGAGAATGTCCCCAGAAGCCCCTCCCACCCCAATTCCCGAGGTTTTGGGGTGCCCCATACCGGGGGATGTTGTTTTTGGGGTCCTCGCTGTCGTTGGCCAGCCCCCCAAACAGGTAACACTTGTTGCCCACCAGGGAGAAGCTGTGGCCCAGCCGGGGGCAAGGGGGGGGCCCATTTTTGGGGGTCTTCGCCTTCAGCCGCTTCCACTCCCACCTGGAGGCCTGGAATTGGGGAGGGGGGATGTGGGATTTGGGGACCCCAAAACTGGGAGCGTCCTGAAGGGGTCTCCAGGTGTTTGGGAAGGAGTCCCAGGGGACCACCTGTGGTTTGGGGGGGGGGGGTCCCAGGGGGCCATCCATGGTTTGGGGGGGAGGTTCTGGGGAGTTTGGGAGTGTCCTGGGGGTCCCCAGGTGCTCGGGGGGGTGGTTCCCAGGGATTCAGGGGGAGTTCTGGGATATTTGGGGGACTCCCCAGGTGTTCGGGGGTGTTCCCAGGGGTTCCCCAGGTGTTCGGGGGGGTTCCCAGGGGTTCCCCAGGGAGTCGCCAGGGAGTCCCCAGGTGTTCGGGGGGGTTCCCGGGGTTTCCCAGGTGTTCCCCAGGGGGTTCAGGGGGTTTCCCAAAGGTTCCCCAGGTGTTCGGGGGGGTTCCCAGGGGGTCCCCAGGGTACCTGCAGCTCGTAGAGGTCGTTGCTGTACTTGCCGTACTCCACCATGCCCCCGAACACGAGCAGCCGGGTCCCGTCACACACGAAGCCGTAGGCGGCACAGCCGGGGGGGATGTCCCCCCTCACGGCAGGGATGAACCACTGGTTGGTGGCTGTTGGGGACAAAATGGGGACGGGGACACGCTGAGAATGACACCCC